AATAAAAAGAATTTAAAAAAAATTGGGGGGCTGATGTGGTATCCGTCGGCGAAGGTCTAAATCCGAGCGAAGGGAAATCACACGCAACGGTTCGTCTTGCATCTTGCCGTGCGACTAACCAACAAAGTTGGATAGACCGCGAGCTTGCATAAGGTAACAGTGCTGACGAGTAGTTGGCCGATAGTTGGACAACTTTTTAATTGCGCGTAATCGGTAGGGAATCTTGATTCTGATACGATCGGTGTCCAATTAATTAGTTGGACGATTTAGTTGGACAAGATGTGTGTGGGCTAGCATATGTCACTAAGCCATGGAATGTAAATGGGTGTTTAATTTTGTTTTGTTTAGTTATAATTATTTTTTTTCGGCTGATATATTCCGAAATTTGCGGTGTTTTGAGCAGTCTTGTAATAATATATTTTAATAAACACAGATCCACTTTGACTCACTCCGAGCTCGGCCGCCGTTGAGTGGGATTCTGTATCGTTTGTTTACAGCGGCTCGTGATTGAAAAATATCGATCGCTGTAGAAACACAAAACAGTATTCCAAAAACCAAATTTAATACATAGTTGACCAAGGTAAGATATTATTATTGTAGGGGTATCTGTATAGTTTTCTCATCTGGTTGGTTTCTATAAATATATAATTATAAATTAAAATGAAAAGATAAATATCCAATAAAATAAAATAAATACAAAAAATACACAAATAAATAAAGATCTAACCAGATGGAAGCCCTCGGCAGAGGAGACCAAACGGCCGAGGGTTAGGAGGAAAGGGAAAGAAACCGACGGACGATGCGGGCGGTATCGAGGAACATTACCTTCTGCATTTGAGCCCGGAGCGGTCCGTCACGGAGTCCCAGTCGCCTCAGATGACCCGAGAGGCTGACTGGGATTAGCCCATTCGCAGAGACGAATACAGGAATAATTTCGGTCGGCCGACCACCCCACATGTCGGTCACCTCGTGAGCCAGGTCCAGATATTTTGTTCGCTTATCTGTTTCGGCTTTCACGAGGTTCTCGTCATACGGAATGGTAATGTCGACCAAAAATATCCTTGACTGTGCCCGGTCCATCAGCACAATATTAGGCTTATTCGCAAGAATAGTCCTGTCTGTGATGATGGCCCGGTCCCAGTAGAGCCTGGCGCGGTCATTTTCGAGCACGGCTTCCGGCAGGTACTTGTAATACGGCACTTTCCGGTCTACGAGACCGTATTTCAGAGCGAGCTCCTGGTGTAGAATTCTGGCTACTAGGTTGTGCCTGTGCAAGTACTCAGAGTTAGAAAGCGCCGAACAACCGGAGATGACATGCCTAAGTGACTCCCCGGGATGGCGACAAGCTCGACAGACGTCGACGGTGCCATCCTTTAGGATGTATCTCCGATAGTTGTTGGTCTTAATAACCTCATCCTGTATTGCACAGACAAAACCCTCGGTTTCCCCCGAAGAGGTCACCGAAACGTAGCCAGTTGAGGGAGGCGACTGTATCTACGAAGGGCTCATGTAGAGCCTTGTAGTACCTTCCGTGGAGCTCCTTCTCCTTCCATACGGTCTCCCGGTCGGAAATGCTAAGCACTGCTGGGTCCTGCCATTTCTCGTTGGCTAAGGATAGAGGGGTAAGCCCTTTATCACTAAAAATGACGTCATTATAGAATGGATCATCCGATCTCGCCAAGAAGTATTGACGGAGACTGCACAAAAAAGCTCAATCTGAGCACCTGAGTATGCCAAAGGTATACATGAGGACAGGCATGACCCAGCAGTTATATGCGTGTGACTTATTCACACCGGACAAAAGGCTGTTAAGCACTTTGGTCAAGCGTGCATAAAACACGTCGCAAACTGACTGTTTCATACCAGCCTCATCGATACCGATGTTCTGTGACATACCCAGGTATCGGTATGTTTCAGCCTCGGAAAGGGTCCTTAAGTTGACGGGCATAGACAAGTCTATGCCCTCAGAGTTAGCAACCCTTCCCCTTTCAACATGGAGGACCGCACACTTATCCGTCCCCAGCTCCATTCCAATGGAACTGCTAAATTCATGATGTTTAGCAGTTCCATACGATGGGAGCGACTGGAGGCGAATAACTTGAGGTCATCCATATAGAAAAGGTGAGTCACTTTTGTCCCTCCTTTACGTAGCTGAAATCCCCTCCCGGAGCCCTCCAGTAAGGTACTGAGAGGGTTCAGAGAGAGGCAGAACCAGATTGGACTCAAACAATCGCCCTGGAAGATACCCCATTTTTTCCTTATGTGGTTCTCCGCAGCCATCATCCGCTCGCCCAGATGACAAAGGATCGTACTCCATTGCCCCATACACTGCTCGAGGAAGTCTCTAACTGTACAGTCAATCTTGTACAGCTCGAAGACCCTCTTTAGCCATGTATGGGGCACCGAGTCGAACGCCTTTCTGTAGTCTATCCAGGCGGCAGAGAAGTTCCGACGGTTGCGTTTTACCACTTTGCCTATGATCGCGTCAATGAGGAGTGGTTCCTTGGTTCCACGACCACCGCCCCGACATCCATTTTGAGCGCGTGACATCACCTGGTTTAGCTCCAGGTGACGAGTGATTCTCGCGCTCAAAATGGATGTCAGTGTCTTATATATGGTGGTGGTACGTGATGGGGCGGTATTTGCTCGGGTCTGTGGTATCCTGATCTTTAGGAACCAAGTGAGTGATCCCAGTAGTGAAGAGGCTCGGGAGCGACTTCTGGTCGAGAGCCTCTTGAAACTGTCGGGCGAGCACAGCGTGACACACTATGAACCCCTTCAGCCAGTAATGATGCAGCCCGTCGAGCCCCGGACTTTTCCAGTTCGGGGCCCTACGGACCGCCTCAGCCACGTCTATTATTATTATTATTATTGTGGGGTATCTATATAGTTTTCTCATCTGGTTGGGTTCTATAAATATATAATTATAAATGAAAATGAAAAGATAAATATACATAAATATCAATAACATAAAATAAATATAAAAATATATAAATAAATAAAAGCCCAACCGGATGGAGGCCCTCGGCAGGGGAGACCAAACGGCCGAGGGTTAGGGGGTAAAGGGAAAGAAACCGGCGGACGATGCGGGCGGTATCGAGAAGCACCGCCTTCTGCATTTGAGCCCGGAGCGGTCCGTCACGTAGTCCCAGTCGCCTCAGATGACCCGAGGGGCTGACTGGGATTAGCCCGTTTGTAGAGACGACTACAGGAATAATTTCGGTCGGCAGACCACCCCACATGTCGGTCACCTCGTGAGCCAGGTCCAGATATTTTGTTTGCTTGTCAGTTTCGGCTTTCACGAGGTTCTCGTCATACGGAATGGTAATGTCGACCAAAAATATCCTTGACTGTGCCCGGTCCATCAGCACAATATCAGGCTTATTCGCAAGAATAGTCCTGTCTGTGATGATGGCCCGGTCCCAGTAGAGCCTGGCGCGGTCATTTTCGAGCACGGCTTCCGGCAAGTACTTGTAATACGGCAATTTCAGATCCACGAGACCGTATTTCAGAGCGAGCTCCTGGTGTAGAATTCTGGCTACTAGGTTGTGCCTGTGCAAGTACTCAGAGTTAGAAAGCGCCGAACAACCGGAGATGACATGCCTAAGTGACTCACCGGGATGGCGACAAGCTCGACAGATGTCCACGGTGCCATCCTTTGGGATGTATCTCCGATAGTTGTTGGTCTTAATAACCTGATCCTGTATTGCACAGACAAAACCTTCGGTTTCCCCGAAGAGGTCACCAAAGTGTAGCCAGTGGAGGGAAGCTACTGTGTCTACGAAAGGCTCATGTAGAGCCTTGTAGAACCTCCCGTGGAGCTCCTTCTCCTTCCATACGGTCTCCCGGTCGGAAATGCTAAGCACTGCTGGGTCCTGCCATTGCTCGTTGGCTAAGGATAGAGGGGTAAGCCCTTTATCACTAGAAATGACGTCATTATAGAATGGATCATCCGATCTCGCCAGGAAGTAATCACGGAGGCTGCACACTTCGCGATTATGCATGGTGAGCGCGCTCAGAAACGTCTTTCGGGCAAGAGCCTCAGAGATTGGAGAGGAGTAGGTAGTGCGGATTTTGGTGGTTGGGTCCACTTGCGTATGCCAAAGGTATACATGAGGACAGGCATGACCCAGCCGTTATATGCGTGTGTCTTATTCACACCGGACAAAAGGCTGTTAAGTACTTTGGTCAAGCGTGCATAAAACACGTCGCAAACTGACTGTTTCATACCAGCCTCATCGATACCGATGTTCTGTGACATACCCAGGTATCGGTATGTTTCAGCCTCGCAAAGGGTCCTTAAGTTGACGGGCATAGATAAGTCTATGCCCTCAGAGTTAGCAACCCTTCCCCTTTCAACATGGAGGACCGCACACGTATCCGTTCCCAGCTCCATACCAATAGAATTGCTAAATTCACAAGTGATGTTTAGCAGTTCCATAAGATGGGAGCGACTGGAGGCGAATAACTTGAGGTCATCCATATAGAAAAGGTGGGTCACTTTTGTCCCTCCTTTCCGAAGCTGAAATCCCCCTCCCCGGAGCCCTCCAGTAAGGTACTGAGAGGGTTCAGGGAGAGGCAAAACCAGATTGGACTCAGACAATCGCCCTGGAAGATACCCCTTGTTTTCCTTATGTGGTTCTCCGCAGCCATCATCCGCTCGCCCAGATAGCAAAAGATCGTACTCCATTGCCCCATACACTGCTCGAGGAAGTCTTCAACTGTACAGGCAATCTTGTACAGCTGGAAGACTCTCTTTAGCCATGTATGGGGCACCGAGTCGAATGCCTTTCTGTAGCTTATCCAGGCGGCGGAGAAGTTCCAACGGTTGCGTTTCACCACTTTGCCAATGATCGCGTCAATGAGGAGTGGTTCCTTGGTTCCACGACCACCGCCCCGGCATCCATTTTGAGCGCGTGACATCACCTGGTTTAGCTCCAGATGACGAGTGATTCTCGCGCTCAAAATGGATGTCAGTGTCTTATATATGGTGAGTAGTATTACGTGTACGTGATGGGGCGGTATTTGCTCGGGTCTGTGGTATCCTGATCTTTAGGAACCAAGTGAGTGATCCCAGTAGTGAAGAGGCTCGGGAGCGACTTCTGGTCGAGAGCCTCTTGAAACTGTCGGGCGAGCACAGCGTGACACACTACGAACCCCTTCAGCCAGTAATGATGCAGCCCGTCGAGCCCCGGACTTTTCCAGTTCGGGGCCCTACGGACCGCCTCAGCCACGTCTTCAGGCGTTATGGTGACGGGGTCCATAGGCGTAACACTTGCACTCTGGCTCGCCACAACTTCCATCCAAGGGCCCTCGCTGTGGTTTACGGGCTCTGACCACAGGCCACGCCAAAATGCGACAGTGTCGGCCTGATCCGGTCCTGGGCCCGCTCCACATACCTCTGGTCGCTCCAATGATTTATAGAGCCTCTTCTGATCACTCTGGAAGAGACGATTCTGGTTGAACCGCCTTGACCTCTCGCTAAATCGTCGAATCCGCTTCCCCCAAGCAGCGATTTTTTGCTTCAGGTCATCTATGCGCTCCGTTAGTTTTTGCGTGATATCCGGTTGGAACAAACTGATATTTGTCCCAGCAAACGCCATCCTAACGGTGCGCATAATCCTCGGTCTATTATTACCCGACCTGAAGCTTGTCAGTCTGCCGATAAGGGCCCTTGCCTTTGCGATACGGTCCTCAATTCTTTTTCTCCAGGCTGGGATGGCGCTACTTTTTTGAGTAGCACGTCCAGCCACGGGAAGTTTGGCGCCAATAATACGGCATACTGCCAGTGCGGCGCCAAAAAGAACCCGCTGGCTTCCAAATAGGTCACCAGCATTGGGTTAAGAGCCCGCACGACAGCCCGATTTCGCTGCTAAGGGGTATGCGGGGAAGTCGCGGTCGATTTTCGTGAGGCATGCTGCGCGTTTCCAGCATCGACTCTTCCAATATGCTCCTCATTTTCTCTAGTTCGTGGGAGACTATTCCATCATCGTCTGAATTAGCAACAAATGGAATGTTGACGGCAGCATTCACATATGCAGTTTGTTGCGCATTTAGTGGCGCCGCATTCCCAGCCGTAGCATTTCCATTCGATGAAGGAATAGCCTCACGTCGTAGTCGCTCGAGTTCGGCGTCACCAAATATGTTGGAGCGCAGGATGTACCTAACTCGGTCTGCCAGGTTTTGCTCAGTGACGGATAGAGATAGCTCCAGCTCTGCAAAAAAGCGATGCATCTGAGCCCGATACGCCAAACATCCAGTTTCTTCCCCTTTTGCCCTAAAATACGCCTGCAGTGCGTTTTCATTCATTGATTTAGACCAACGCATGCGACGTGCTCCACCAGCGGCGGGTGCCGATTGCTGAGTCCGAGAAGACCCAGCCGACACCAGGCCTTCTGGTGGGGATGATGGATGCGGGGGCTGCTAGGGGGTCTTGCAACACCCCGCGCTCGGCTGGCGGCCCGCATGCTGTCGCGTCCAGCGCCAGCTCCAGACGCGCCCTGGCGACCTCCAGACAGCGGCCCTTTGCGCACTATCTTTTTTTCCATCATCCATAATATGGGCGTCAATTAACGGGAGACGCCCAGGCCCGGCACCGTATCGTGGACGGCCATAAGCACAAACGGGCCTTTGCACCCTGAATTCTGCCGAGGCACGGCGCTCACACCTCTCGCAAGGCGCTGACTGATGCGTTGACGTAGCAGTTTTGTTACTTAACTGTTACGTCAGCGGGCGATGGGGTCGTCAATTCCCTACGCCATTATTATTATTATTATTGGGGTATCTATATAATTTTCTCACCTGGTTGGGTTCTATAAATATATAATTGTAAATTAAAATGAAAAGATAAATATACATAAATATCAATAAAATAAAATAAACACAAAAACTACATAAATAAATAAGATCCAACCAGATGGGAGCCCTCGGCAGGGGAGACCAAACGGCCGAGGGCTAGGGGGAAAGGGAAAGAAACCGGCGGACGATGCGGGCGGTATCGAGGAGCACCGCCTTCTGCATTTGAGCCCGGAGCGGTCCGTCACGGAGTCCCAGTCGCCTCAGATGACCCGAGAGGCTGACTGGGATTAGCCCATTCGCAGAGACGACTACAGGGATAATTTCGGTCGGCAGACCACCCCACATGTCGGTCACATCGTGAGCCAGGTCCAGATATTTTGTTGGTTTCTCTGTTTCGGCTTTCACGAGGTTCTCGTCATACGGAATGGTAATGTCGATCAAAAATATCCTTGACTGTGCCCTGTCCATCAGCACAATATCAGGCTTGTTCGCAAGAATAGTCCTGTCTGTGATGATGGCCCGGTCCCAGTAGAGCTTAGCGCCGTCATTTTCGAGCACGGCTTCCGGCAAGTACTTGTAATACGGCAATTTTCGGTCCACGAGACCGTATTTCAGAGCGAGCTCCTGATGTAGAATTCTGGCTACTAGGTTGTGCCTGTGCAAGTACTCAGAGTTAGAAAGCGCCGAACAACCGGAGATGACATGCCTAAGTGACTCCCCGGGATGGCGACAAGCTCGACAGACGTCGACAGTGCCATCCTTAGGATGGCACTGTCGACGTTATTATTATTATTATTATGTTACGTGCTTGAGGTTCGTGACAATAAAAACTGCCGATTGAATTACCAAAATTTACACTTTTATTACCGAACACCAATTAAAACTTAAAAAACACTAATAATTAATCACACTGATTCACTTTATCTCGCTCCGAAGCTTCGCTTGTCTCGCCAAATTCAAAACTGCCCCGATCGCGGCTTGCAGCGGCTTTAAATACACCTTCCACCGAAACATCCATAATATTCCAGTAAATACGGGCGCCGACCGACCAGGCGCAGAACGTTCGAGTGTGGGGCTTCTAGAAAGCTTAATTCTTCTGTTCGATACTAGATGGCGCTGTTGGTGGAAAGTTCAAGATTGACATTTTCTAAGAAGCCCTCCTCGCTCTGGTCCCCGACACTAGATGGCGCTAGTGCCAGGTACCAGACGTCAACTTAGGCGCGCAACATTATTTTTATAATCACAGATTTTCATTGCAAAAGCTTTGTGTTTCGCCAAAAGTACGTAGGATTTATATACCTACTAGCTTGCCAGGCAGACATTGTTCTGCCCTTTTCGACGAACCTTTGTCATGTCCTATTAGTTGATAAAAAAAATATTACGAGCCAGGTAAAAAAGACTAGTTTCTACGATAATGACTGAGTACAAATACCTAAAAATTAAAGTAAATATTAAAGTTGATTTCTGATCGTTTTAGATAATTCTGTTAAAAGTATTTTTCAATTAACGATAATAAAAAAAATGTTTGGATTTCAATAATAATATCTGACAGTAAAATTTAAATAAGTATTTTCTATTGTTGATTGAGAATTTTTTCAACATTTTTTACGATCATATGAACATTTTAATTTGTGCACTTTTGGATTTTCCAAACTTTTTTTTATTGTCGTTTGACATAAAATTGTCGGAAAATTAGAAGTAATAGTAATATGTTTATTTGTGAAAACTTGTGTTTAAAATACTTACAAAAATTAACGTATAACATGAGCGCTTATTTAGATTTACCAAAAGTTTTTTATTGAGGCGATGTGTCGAAAAACCTAAATGCCTGTCAATGATCAATAACGCATCTACTATTCAAACAAAGCTAATAAAGAAAACTTTTATACGGCGTATAGCGTACAATATAAAAACAGACCGCTTTGGTGGATTACAAGTCGAAAGAAGTCGAGAAGAAAAACGACTTTATAATTTTATTGGAAATGATATTGGGTTAAGACTGTACCATCATTTAAGTAAAATAGAGTTTAGTTGCAGACCATGTCAATGCTTCCCAATGGATTATTTTAGTAAAATTATTTATAAGAATGCGAATAATCAAGTTTAATTATAGGAAATTAAAATCTAATAGTTCAAAAATCGAAAATATCTATCAGTTGCACATTTATAATATGTTTCGATGTAAGTAATGTCCTAGTAGGGTAGTTGAGTTAGGTTGAAAAAAATAAATATTTAATACCACTTAAAAGAAGGCTTAAAAATAATACGACGGCTAATAAACAAATAACCGTCAAAATATGGCCCATATTAAAGCTTTAAAATTTTCTTTGCCGTCTTCTTCCCGCAAAATGGAGAAATCGGCAATATTAACTTACTTCGACGATAATCATGTCTATTCATTTTGTGTGTGCAACTTACATTTCAACGTGTATTCAAATAAAAAATATACTGTTAAATAAGTTATTACTCAAAAATACGTTATAAACTGATTATTATTGTATTCGACAGTTGACAATTTTTTATAATTATTTTTTTTGTAATTCTGTTTATTATAACCCAGTGTATTTATTATTTCTGAACACAAATTGTCTGATTGAGTTATTTGATTTCTTTAATACGTGAAGTAAAATAAAATGTTTTTAATTTATAATTAAGTAACTAACTTCTAACTAACTTAACTTAACTAACTTCCCGTTATGACAACCCTAGCAATTAATCGTTTATGTCGGCTTTTCATGGCTTTTCCGACAGCATCAAACGCGATGAATGACTGTTATATGTTCTTCTTAGGCTGTGGTAGTGCTACGACGTACGATAGGCGGCGGCGACCTCTCGCGTCCGGCCCTGGTCGAAGCCATGGTCCGGAGCGAGACGGAATGGGATGCCGTCACCACCTTCTGCGAAGCAGTGATGCTAGCGAAGGAGGTGGCGGAGCGGGAGAAGGAGAGAGCAGCAGCTTTCCTCCCCGGCCGCCGCGGGAGACGCCCCGGGCGTCGGGGGCTACGTCGTGGCCCCCGGCCACCGTAGGCGCGGGCCTGTGGACGGCGAGCAATGGGTAGGTCGCCGTCCGTCCGTCTAACGACGACAGGCCGTGTCGACGGCACGTTTTGTTCCACGCGCGCCTCAAAGAGCTGTCAGCAGCGTGAAGGGACCCGTAAGGGCCAACGCCTGCCGGGGCTGCGGGCTGTTCGAAAGAGATACCGCGGCTCCGGAACGTAAGGGCACTGAAGGAACACGGATGGTTTTTAGTCAGTAAAAGTCTGACACTCCCTTACGCTCCACCCAGAGCGAAAGGGGTCATTAGATGATTTTCCATCCGCAAAAAAAAAAGGCTGTGGTAGTGCTGTGGTTTACTACGTACTTTTTTATTTGTAATGTACATACATAAACACTCACGCCTGTCCCCCAGAGGGGTAGGCAGAGACTACAGACTTCCATTTGGCACGAACCTGACACACCTATCTCGCCTCCTTCACATCCATACACCTACGCATACATGCTTGTCGGTTAAGGGTACTCCTAATTTGACCCGTTTTCAATAAATCGCCAATTTGGTCGATACATTTTAGCCTAGGACTCCCTTTCCGACTCTGCCATTCACTTCTGCAACATAAATTTTCTTTGTCACTCTTTTCTCATTCATTCTTTCCACATGACCAAACCACCGAAGCATTCCTTTCTTAATCCTGGTCACAACATCATCTTGCAAACCACACTCTTCTCTTATTACACAATTTCTTACCCTGTCGTTCAGATTCAGCCCTAACATACTCCTTAACGACCGCATTTCTACTGCGTTGATTCTACTCTCGTGCTTCTTCTGCCACACCCAAATTTCACTACCATACGTTAAAGTAGGGACCAACACAGCATTGTGAATTGCCATACGTGCCTTTTTTGACACATTTTGACTCTTCACAATAGAGTGCAGGGCCCCATTTACTCTATTTCCCGCATTCACTCGTCGTTCTATATCCTTATCATATCTCCCATCCCTGCTAAATACGCTATCCCATCCCTGCTAAATACGCCCTGCTAAATACGCCTGCTAAAGAGGCCCGTCTGGCTACGTATTATACGTATACTATTATAAGTAGTCATTTATTGCATAAAAATCGAACAAAAATAAGTCACTGTATATTACCGATATATCAACTCATAGTGCAACACTAATTTTTTCGTAGGTATTTTTGTTTACTTTGTGCTTTGTAGGCCTGGGTCGTATCGCGTTTTCTGAGAATCGTATCTATATCAGATTTCGAGTTTCAATATCTGATGTCAAAACTATATATTTCAATATATATATATTCTGCGTACCCGTTTAACTATTTTCTATCCGCGCTGTTGAAATCGTATATAAGTTTGTGATTCAAAATCATCCACAATCGACTTCTTACTTAGCCGTATTTATGCCATCTTGCGTCATCTTTACGTACCACCTTGAGATCTAATCAATTTTCGTTCGATAAAATGACTTGAAGTAGATGGCGGAAGAATGGAGTAGATGGTGGTTTACAAATCAGTTTTCGAAAGAAAGTATTTTTTTAAAACATCAATACAACTATCTATTCTTTAGATTTGTTTCATTAAAATTTAGGTAGGTTTCACATGTCTTAAAATAAGGATTGTAACAATTATTTGCTATACTTAAAGTTAAACTTATATGCAATATTTAATACTGAACTTGTGGTTGAAAATTATCATAAAAATCAATCGTTTGCCGTTAAATCTTTTGAAGTGTTGAAAACGCTTTTGACTTAATTCATTATTGGTTGATGTTAAACTTTATGTACTTTTTTGTTACGATATTGGCTCAGGTATTGTTTTATAATAGTTTTAACGAAGCGCGCCAGTTTAATATTATTTATTTTACATTTTTATCAAAATATTTTAAGAGATACAGTAGAATCCGTTTATTATGACTCCGCCTATATTGACCAGCCGGTTATTATGACGTATTTGCACTACGAAGTTTGGTTTTCATATAAAATTCTTTATAACAAAGTCGGATATAATGACTTCCCTTACAGTGACATGTCGCTTATTATGACCCATTTTTAATAAATTATGTCCGGTTATAATGACCGACATGATTCTTTACACCTTCGGTATTGTTCGTTGATTCCCGACGACGTTCGGCACGTGGCTTTTTTTTGTTTTGATTCTCAGTGAGTAATTGACGGTTGAAGGTCACGCATTGTTTTTCGTTTGCTACTGTGAAAAAAATGTTATCTCAACGACGTAAAGCATTTACAATTGAGGAGAAAGGTGCAATAATATGCAGATTAGAAAATGGAGAATCTAACTCATGTCTCGCAAAGGAATTTGGCGTGGGTCATTCGACAATCTCAATGATTTTTAAAAACAAGAACCGAATTAAGGAATCGTTCAATTCAAATGTTTTGAAACCGAAGAGGCTTCGAAAATCACGACAAGATGTTGATCAAGCATTAATTCAGTGGTTTAAAAACATGAGAAACAAAGGAATACCTATCAGCGGTCCTATGCTACAGGAAAAGGCAAATGGTTTTGCCGCGCGTTTTGGTATTCTCGACTTCAATTGTTCTGCAAGCTGGATCAGTCGTTTTAAAGTTCGACATAACATTGTGGCTGGAAAAATTGTCGGTGAATCTTCGTCTGTAGATCAAAATTCAACAACAAACTGGTTGATATCTGTGTGGCCGAATTTACGAAGACAATTTTCTGATGATGAGATATTCAATGCTGATGAGACTGGACTTTTTTTACAAATTAATGCCGGATAAAACTTTAAAATTTAAAAGTGAAAATTGTAGTGGAGGTAAGTTATCGAAAGATAGAATAACTGTCATGGTAACAGCGAATATGAGTGGCACAGAGAAGAAGAAATTGCTCATTATTGGAAAGTCACAAAAACCAAGATGTTTTAAAGGTGTCAAATCATTACCTGTCGATTATGCTAACAATCGTAAAGCTTGGATGACGTCAGAACTTTTTGAAAAATGGCTTCGTGATTGGGATCGTGATTTGGTGAAGAAGAAGAAAAAGATTCTATTGCTGGTTGATAATTGCCCGGCGCATCCAAATGTTACTGATTTAAAGTCTATAACACTTGCTTTCCTTCCGCCGAATACAACATCAGTACTACAGCCAATGGATCAGGGAATAATACGATCACTCAAAATGAATTTTAGGAAGAGCCTTGTGCTCAAAATGATTAATTGTCTTGATGCTAATGGAAACCACTCTTCTACAAAAGTAACGGCGCTAGATGCAATTCTGATGGTTAATGATGCCTGGAATAAAATGTCTCAAAGTACCATTCATAACTGTTTCAAACACGCAGGATTCATTGAAAGCAACAACGGTTTACCTATTCAAATATCAGAACATGAATTCGATGAAGAAGATGACATTCCTTTATCTTTGTGGTCACGAAACCTAAACTCAGATTCTTTAGCAGCATCGGAAATGTGGGAAGATTATGTTGACATCGATAGCGGTCTCCTCACATCCGAAGAACCCACCGATGAAAATATCGTACAGAACATTAGTGCTAAGGAACAACTCGAAAGTGATGGGGAAGAGGAAGTCGAGGAAGCACCATTACCTACCGCAGAAGAGGCATTAAAAGCTGCAGAATTATTATCACGATTTGTTCACAGCAATATTGAAAATGATAATTTGACCATAGCTATGTCTTCTATACACAATAGTATTAGAGACTGTTTTTACAATAAAATGAAAAAACAAAAGCAGACAAAAATTACAGATTACTTACAGTAAAAAATACACTTGTACATACAATGTGTTATTATAATAATGTGCTGATTACGTGCAATTTTGATTTTGGTTTAATATGTACATATATATACATACATATGTAATTACATATGTACTATGTATGTTTCTGTATTAAAATACTTAAATACATACATATTTACATAAAAAAAGTTTTTCATTTCACATAACGCTTTATATGACGTCCGCTTATTATGACGTGTTTGTCAATTCCTTTCAAAGTCATTATAAACGGACTCTACTGTATATTCAAAAAGTTGGAAAAAAAATACTAGGGAAGTTAATTAAGATTTAGTGAAATTGTGTTTTTATTATTTAGTGTAGTATACAAATATAACATTTTAATTTTCCGAGATGTCTAATCTAATACCCATATACTCGCGCAGTGTCGCACACGGCGAATCTATCCACCGACCGATGCGGATCGATATAGGTATATATATATCAGATTTTGTATAATATATATTTATGGAACGAATCTAGCGACCGACCGATGAGAAGCGATATAGGTATCGCGGCGGTATATCAGATTTTGTAAAATATATAGCTATGGGTACACTAGTCACTCGTTCTTCCATACAAACGTAGTCTGGCGATTACTCCACTGTACGTACAAAATAAAAAATGATTTCAATTTGTCTCATCATTATCTAGCCCTGTATGGAAACAAAAAAATAAAATAGATTATGTTTAAAAATTATAAGCGTCGAAAATTCCGAATTTCAACACTATTTTTAACACATCTTTGGGCGGAAATAAATACCATAATAAGAATGAAAATTGCAAAACAGTTACCATACAGGGATAGATTAGTTGTTCAAAAATGCAAATAATTTTATTTTGAACAGATACATTCAATAGATTTTTCATGACATCCAGACTGCCAAAGGTCTGTTTATAAAATTTCGCGCGCACGTTTTTGTTGTAAATCATGTTGCCTTTCGCTACAAATTGTTTCCCTGATCAGTGGTACGGACGGAGGGGGGGGGGGGCGTAGCGCGCGTACATAATAATGAACTTTCGATACAGGTAGTACATTAGGTACTTAACTACTTTAATTTGCTAACTAACGAAAACATCTCATAGATAAGCACGATTATCGAAAATCTTAAAATTATCTATTAATTTAATTAGAATAGGTAATTTTTAGATTTTCGATAATCGTGCTTACGTATAGGAATCTCATATCCTAATATACCTAATGTAATTTATGTAAGTACATAAGAATTAAAAGCCGTGGTAGCTCAGATGGTTAGCGCTCGCTTTAAATTTCACAGTACGCGAGCAAACCGGGTTCGATCCCCGCCGGCACCAATGAAATTGTTAATTGCAATTTTAAGTGCTGATTTACCACGTACTCGGCGGTGAAGGAAAACATCGTGAGGAAACCTGCATGTCTGAGGAATAAGAAAAAAAATATTTCGAAGACATGTGAAGTTCGCCAACACGCATTAGGGCAGCGCGGCGGACAATTACTTGCCCTAAAACCCTCTCAGAAATGAACGGAGGCCTGTGCCCAGCAGTGGGACGTGTATATAGGCTGTAACTTTACTTTACTTTACTTTTACATAAGAATCTAAGAAGGGCAGTCAATGATAAATAAAATTTGTTTTGCAAGTTGTTTTTTTTTTAAAACACTTTAACACAACAAAAACATGAAACTGACAAGGAGCACCCGATCTGCCGAAACAAACTCAGAGAGGTCAGTCCAGGTATTACATTGAATGAATGAATGAATGAATTAATATACTTTATTGTACAGCACAATCAAATTTACAAAGTACGTAACATAGTGCAGATTACATGTACAATTTGGCGGCCTTATCGCTACGTAGCGATCTCTTCCAGGCAACCAAAGGTGTAAAGGAATAAAACAGTGAATACTAGGTAGGTGGTGCAATAAAAATATACCTAATATAATATCAATACATGCAATAAAATAACATATAAATAACTAATACATAAACATACACACATACATATATACACACATATATATATATATATATATATATATATATATATACATATATATATATATATATATACATACACTACATATATATCCTCAAATATATACCACTAACAATAACATAAACAAATAAATTCAAAAACTACATAATCACATAATTTATCCTAATGATTTTCGAGCGATTGAGACAAGTAATGCTCTCTAAGAAGTCGCTTAAAGACTACAATAGTTTGTGCTTCGCGTATATACAAAGGTAGGGCATTCCAGAACTTAATAGACTGTACAGTAAAAGATTTATTAAAGAAAGATGTATTGTGAGTTGGTACCCTTAAATTGAGTTTTCTTAAAGAGCGTAAAGGTTCCCCTGGAAGACCAACAAAACTAAACTTCTCCTTAAGATGAGGAGTAGAAGGGTAAAATAAGACACAGTACAGAATAGAAACAATATGCATGTTCCGGCGAAATTGGATAGGTAACCACTTGAGACGTGAGCGAAATTGGGAAATGTGGTAAATGGAGCATACGAGAAGCAGGCAGGTGGCTAATGGTCCTTTGAAGAAAGAACCATACAGATGTGAGTGGACAACTAAGTACTTTTTAGGATTCCGTACCCGAAGGGTAACCAGCAGGGCTCTATTACGAAGCCTCCGCTGTCCGTGTGTCTGTCTGTCAGCGGGCTGTATATCATGATCCGTAATAGGTAGATGGTTGTAATTTTCACAGAACGTGTATTTCTGTTGCCGCTATAACAGCAAATAGTAAAAATAAATTTGAAATTAAAGGGTTTCCTACTATAAAAAGAAACGTGTATTTTTGGCTTTTTTTTTTGATCGATAGTAATATGTAGTATATTTAAATCTTGTAAGATGGTACGGAAGCTCGGAAGTCGGATTCGCACTTGGCAAATATTTGTTTATATTTAACCTTACCTTAGACATACTCATATTTTTTATATATAATTTACTATAATACTATATAAGCTACTACTAAATAAAATAGTAGTAGCTTTGCTATGGTATTATAGTATATATTTTGGTTTAGATTTAATTTACCTATTACAGAATAATACGAACTATATAAAAATTAGGGAGCGCATCAACCTACCTCAGATATTGGGTTATGAATACAGATAAGTACACATAGGATTTAGTTTCTAATTTGTACATATTTTATAGCCTTCGTTATCAATAGCATTAACAGGCCAAGCCCCCTAGCCTACAAACGTTTCGTAACGAATCTCTTTCTACAATCGCGCCTTTTATTTGTTTGGACTGACCACCTGACTCGTTCAGTGATGTCATTCCCATACAGTGTTTAGTTTTCAACTAGCGTTATCTAGTATCATAAAATAATTCAAAATTTTGTTTATATTTCGCTAATTGTGTCTGTACTGTGAATTTGATTTACAATCGATCTCTAAATTGTAGTTTTCTTCTAATTACTTACCTTGTCTAGACGTGTTCTTTGGACTTCTGTAAGGAAGTCTGTACTGTTATTCCTATTCTGTTTAGGTACGTTACTATTTTAATAGACAAAGCAGTTATCCTGACACTGGCTGGCATATACTTCGGGGAGTTGCCTGTGGGCTATTATAGCTAACTAGCTATAGTAAGTAAATACCTATTTAGAATACATAGTACCTACAGTAATGTTTGCATAACCTGCAATAAAATACAAAAACATAAAAAAACATAATTATTTTACCCTTTTTCTGTTTTAGAAGTCGATTATATTTTTTTCAATTTTTTTTAATGTTACTATTTTAGTTGAGAGTTATGTCCCTTTAGTGGGTATAGGCGTGATATTATACTGTGTGATTGCGTAAAGAATGCATAGATACGCGATAGCAGCAATCGCGGTAGATTTGCTGTTACTTATTGAAGAGTGCCCTCGATTTCTCCAAGATTCCATCATCATATCTTGATCTGACCATCATCGATTACCGTGGGATCATCTGGAAAGTATATTCTTTCAAACCAAAAAATAATTTTCCAAATCGATTCAGGCATCTTCGAGAAATCGGGGAACAGAACATACATAACCAAAAAACAACGAATTGAGAACCGCCTCCTTTTTTCGAAGTCGGTTAAAAAGTAGGTAAAAACAAATCAATGAAATTATTATATAATAACAACATCTATTTAAATTCACATAAGAACTTTCATAATAACAACTAAGTACATAAATTGGGTTCATAATAAATAATAATTACGTTTCACACAGCAGATCCTAAGTTATATTTAACACCAATTTGTTTTCTCTCTCCTTTCTCTTTTTAAAATACGTACGTACGTATACGTACGTACAGTAGGATTTTCTCCAGTATCGTGGAGGCAGTTTACAAACATAAATTGCACAAGGACAAACATCCAGACCCGGAACAACTATTTGTAGGCCATACAAATATTTGTTCCGTGCGGAATTCGAACCCGCGGCGCCCAGCGCAGCCTCATTGCTAAGCCACTGCGATACGAAGCTCAAATTGCCGTTTGAGTTTATGTTATTATTCAAAAATGAATCGCATAGGTAGGTACGCGATGACGCCGTCTCGCATTGCGTCACTCGCGTGCGGCTGTGTGTGCGCACTAGCTTCTTACTGCTCATCACAGCGTCTATCCCTTTCGCACGTGATGTCGGCTGAGATAGCATGCATTTTTACCCCGCCCACCACTTAGTTCGTGCCATCGACTAGGGCAACCTTAATAACCACGGAAAGTCCGCCGTGACAAAAAAGATGCAAAGTAATATGGACACTAGCGCCCAGCGATAAAGTTTTATTTAGCTTACGTGTGCGATTTATCTGATTAATAATAATTATGGAGGCTATTAAACGTCGGTAAGTAGTCGACATCAAAGGAGTGCAACTTCTGTACGTAGTACTATTATTTATTCTGTGGTAGAGGACACGGGAACGCGTTTGTGGCGTGGCGCTCAAGAGGTTAAGTAAAACTTTAATTAATAAAAATATCCATTGCAACATGCACTTGATATTTTTATGATAACATAATGATCT